CAGAGCTTCTTTCAAAGACTACAGAGCTTCTGTGGTAACCAGAGCCTCTGCAAGGCTCTGTAAGGACCAGAGTTCTTGGATTCTAAGTCCCTTAGACCAGAGCCCCTCTGTGAAGACCAGAGCTTCTGTGAGTGCTCACAGAGCCTCTGTTGTTTTTGACAAGAGACTCTCTGGCTGTGCCGTCCTCTGTTATCTTTTAGATGACTATCTTCAGATTCCTTATTCTGGATAAGGCTATTCCTGTTCTGGATAGTGTCAAACCTATCCAGGTTTCGTGGGTTACTGCCTATAAATAGAGTGTTTCAGATAGAGAAATATACACACAAGAGCATCAAGAGAATTCTCTTTGTAATAGATAGATTCAAAATCATATGAGAGTCGATTAGGGTTTCTTGAGAGTTTGTAATTTCTATTTCAATAAAAGAAAAGCAGCCGCTGTTTCTCTGTTTAATCTTCTTGTTTACTTTCTCTTACAAACTTCTAGTGTAAATCGTTCTACTGTCAGATCTGGGATATAACAGAAGCTCCAAAATCGCCATCGTCATTTCCCTCAGATCTGCCCAATCACCATTGCAGTTTCCAGAAATAAGATATTGTACGCCGAACGAGACACCGTCCCCCTCAACCAACCCTCCTAATCTGACATCGATGAGATCGAAAACCTCATGAACTACAACGTCTAATCGGGTCTCGCTACTGTCCTCCCCGGCCATCCATCATCTCCTACGCGTGCATCCATTCCCGTATCTTCCCCTTTCATCCCATCCAACCTTCCTCTGAAACCAACATCTATCCCTGCCGCACCTCCATCGCCTTCTAACCTCAGCTGTAATGCTAATGCTAACAGTCCGGCATGACTAGTTTTGGGTCACCGTCGAACACGTTGACTGAACCCGTGTGGGATACGGTGAAACGAGATCTTTCGAGGATTGTTAGTAAATTTCCCCAAATGAAACAAGATGGTCATTCAAGCTCAATAAGCGTCAGCTTCCTTTGGCAACATGCTTTGCCATGACAATAAATAAAAGTCAAGGACAATCACTACGCCATGTTGGCTTGTATCTCCCGAACCAACTGTTTACCCATGGCCAACTGTATATTGTTGTATCACAAGTTACATCACGTGAAGGGTTGGTCATACTAAATGCCGACAATGAGATTGAAGATCGAACCTTCATAAAAAATATTGTTTTCAAGGAAGTCTTCCAAACTATTTCTTCAACAACTCATGATCTTCAGGTACGACATGCTCAAGATTTATAGTAATTATTRAATATTGATTA